CTGAAGAACAAAACGACAGCAACTTGTCTGTTCCCCTTCCCCCGATTCCCCAGCACTGTTCCCATCCCCCCAATTCCCCAATAAAAATCTTTAATAAAAACACCTTATGAATATATATATATATGCTTGATCAAAATAATTTTTAATTAAATGTTTTATATTGTGAATTAAGAGAGGTAGCTGAAGTTCAGTAAAAAACAGGAGAGAAGTTAATCTCAGAATGGAACAGATATAAGCAGTTTCACACCACTTTGTAATATGCTGCTATGTTGTAATAGTAGGAATATGAGACTTCCAAAAATCAGTGCTACATGGTCAAATTGGACTCTTGCTTTTCTATTCATTTCATCCATACATTCAGTGAAAATATCCTGTTAATAATATCTTTCTTAAACAGAAGATTCCAAAAGTTTTCTCATTTGGAATAAGGTAATAATTATGTTATGTAAAATATTTTTTAAATGCATGATTAGGCTACTAACGTATTCTAAAGTAAATACTATCTCTTTTGGTTTCAAAGGTTTTTAAAAATCAGGTAGGTGACTACTAAATACATACCTAGGCTATAAAGAGCCAGCAGGAAATTTCATTAAGGAACTTGCCTTCTATAAATGACCAGTTATCAAAAAATTATGTTCTAATTACATCTGAAGAAACAGAAATACAATAATACTGTCTCTTCATTTTGGTGAACTGGTCAAGTGTGAGCTAATCAAGACAGATAGTGACAACAGTGAGGGTCTTAGATGTTCGGTTCACCTCACTGCCTTTCACTCCCATTTCATTTTACATCAACCCTACTTTTGTGTCTTATCTGCTCTGCCAATACATAAAAAATCAATCTGATAAATCTTATAAATATAAAGAAATATAAATGAATAATACAATAAAATAATAAATACATAAATAAAATTTAAATATAATAAAGATAGATAAATATAAATAAACAAATCTTATTTGCTCTGCCAATATGTAATAATTGACTAAGGATTCTAAATCTAAAAATTGAAACTCTAACGTGATAATGTTTAAAGCAATGATTCTCTCTGAACATAACTTTCAAGTCCCTGGTAACTCCAGCTTTCAGGTCACTAAGTCCCACTAATTTCCATGTTAGCACCTTAGTACTAATCTAAGCTCACTGTAACTGTCCATAGGGCCTACAGTAGTCATGTGACTCCAGAGATACAACTGTGAGCTCTGTAGGTTTCAGCCAAATATACATGTCATGAGCTTTAAAAATTAATGTATTTGATAGTTCTGGCTTAATTTTGAAGAAAGGGCAACTGAAAACAAAAGTCTTGCCTTCCAGAGCCGAAAGTTCACTTGGTAGTGAGCTCTGTGGCTGAAACGGTTAATGACTAAAGACTGCCATAAACCCCCTCATCCATTATATAGAAATCAGCATTTAGCTTCTGTTTCCTAAAACACAGATGCTGAGAGGCTAGAGCATCCAGAAGCACCTTCCTGACACAGCCCATGTGTTTTATTTGGATTAAGGGTGGAGTCTCAATTCTATGAAGGTGTAGAATTACTGATAGACATGAAAGAAAATATAAAAAGTTAAACTTTTTGAGACAGATTATCTTCATATTATAGTCTTTAGACATTTAAGTTAGTAAAAAAAAAAAAAAACATTTTAGAAGCTGTAAGTTCAGAAGTGCTTTGCAGTCTTTTTCCTTAAATGATGTAGTCATTGCTAAACTGTTCTGAGAGAAAAACAGGCCTGAGAAAAATACATTATTTCAAAACAACTCTGAAAAAGACAACAATATACCTGCCCTAACAAAATGCTTTACAAGCTACAATCAAAACAGTGCAATACTAACATCAGCACAGACAGAAATATTAAGGTAATAGAATAGAAATTTTATAAATAGACCCAATTAGTGCATGATAAAGTTAGCATTTCAAGTAAGTGGGGAAACTATGGATTCTCCAATAAAAGGTCTTGAGACAACTAGCTAACAAATTGGGCAGAAAAAACTAAATCAACTATCTCATATGTGACAACAAGACAAATTCCAAATACACTAATATTTGCAATTTATTCATAAAATAATAACTTATGGAAGGAAAACACAGGTACATTTTTATATAATCTTAAATTGGAAAAGGTCTTTTTAAGCAGAGCAACAATTAACAATGACATAAAAGAAATGACTGATCTAACTAAATAAAAAAATGTTAACTTCGGAATAGCAATAAATACCACAAAACTAAAGAGAAATAAGTTAGAAGAATGTGTTTCATATTTATGGCAAAGAATTAGTATCCTTAATATGTAAAGGAATCCTTCAAATCAATAAAAAGGAATACCTCACTTTATAAAAGAACAAGTAATTTACAAAATGGCTAAACAAAAGAATAAGTATTCGACCGCCCTAAGTGATACACATAATTGTGATTCTATTTTAAATAACCAAAGATTTAAAACAATTACAAAATCCATTGTTGTTGTGGGTATAGGAAAACAATACTCAGGTACAATGTTGGTAGAGGTCTAAATTGATATAACCTTTCAATAAGTCAATGTGGATAAAAATCTTTTAAAAGTCCAATCCCTTTTACCCTAAGGTAAAAGTCCAATCTACCCTAAGTAGATAGTCTTAATATACCTTATTCAAAGGTGTATTAGTTTCCTATTGCAGCTGTCACAAATTAACCCAAACATGGTCACTTAAAACCATAGCCAATTTATTTTCTCACAGTTCTGGAGGCCAGAAGTCCAAACCAAGGTGTGAGTAGGGCCGTACCCTGCAGGGCCCTCGCTGGGAGTCCATTCCTGACATCTTCCAGTCTCTGGTGACTGCCAGCATTCCTTGGCTTGTGGCCACATCACTCTAATCTCTGCCTTCATCTTCACACCCCTTTCTCCTCTTCTGTGAGTCTCTCCTCCCTCTGCCTCACTCATAAGGACAGTTATAATGGCATTTAGGGCCCACCTCCATATTCCAGGATTATCTCCTTATCCTAGATCCTTAACTTAATCATATCAGCAAAGATCCTTTTTCCAAATAAGGTAAAATTCACAGCTCCTAGGAATTTGACATTAATATTTCTTGGGGGCGGTGGGGGGAGGCTTCTTTTTTTTTTTTGGCCTACCACAGAAGGTGATAACAAAACAATTTGGAAAAGAACTCTTCCTTGCCTCTTCCTAGCTTCTGGTGGCTCCCAGCAATCCTTGGTGTGCCTAGATTTGTAGCGACATTATTCCAATCTCTGCCTCTATCTTCACATGGCCTTTTCCCTATGTCCATGTGTCTCTACGAATATTCTCTTCTTATAAGGACACCAGTTATTGGATGTAGGGCCCACTCTAATTCAGTATGACCACATCTTATCTAATTACATATGCAGAGATCCTATTTCTAAATAAGGTCACGTTCTGAGGGTCCAAGTGGACATGAATTTGGGAGGGACACCACTGAACTCACTCTAGGTGGGAACTGGCCAGCATCGTTCTCTCGCTGCATGAAGACAGGCCCAAGCAGCTCCTGAGCTCTCAGTGCTGGGTCCAGAAAGGCACAAACCTGAAGGAATTTCACCCACATCAAACAAAGCTCCTGCGAAAGCATAGCAGTAGCCTGGGTCAGGGTCTCGGGATTCTCAAATGTTAGACATTCACTTTGCAAAAGACAAATGAATTCCAGGATTCTCAGAGAAATCAGAGGCCCCTGCTTGAACCAGTCTAATGCCCAAGCTGTACTAAATGATCACTTGTGTGATGTAGGTTAAAGGACTTCAAAAGTGTCCCGCCAAAAATACCAACTGCATTCCAATCCCTAACATTTTCCCCATAATATAAGTAGGCTAAAACGAGGTTATAGACTCTAAAATAGTTCTGTGTAAAAAGAAAAAGAAGAAGAAAAAGGAACAGGAGGAGTAGGAGGGGATCACAAATACACATACACACCAGGGCGGGGAGTAGAAACATATGTGCAAAATTAATTGGCTGGTCTTTAAAAGGCAGGACTGTAAGAGAACAGGAAACAGGACAAATCAGTAATGGATTTTTATGAAAGGGGTTGCAGAGGCCTGAGTGAGACACCTCATGGGAGGATCCTAAGCCGTGAGAGGACTGGCTGCATAAAATGGTGTCTAGAAGCATCTAAGACACACAGGAAGTAAAAGGCAAAGACATACTTTGTCTATTTCCTGATTTTTCACTGCCTTGCCCCCCACCCTTGAACAGATATAAAGCCTTGAAGACTCTGAAACATACCTAAGTTCAGGGTAGTTCCATAGAATCCTACTTAATTAATCATTTCCTCTAAAGAAGAGTTAAACTCACAATCAAAAAGAAAAAATAATTAAATTGGCTATTTTACCTTAATCCAAATATTCCATGACTCTGAGATAAAAATAAAGATGAATCAATTTTACTCACCAACAGTTTCTTCTGATGCAGCAGTCAAAGCTAGAAACTTTTTTGTATTTTCCATTTCCTCATTACTTGGCAAAGCTTCACGATTTTTTGCAGACTATTGAAAAAGAAATGAAAGTTTAAACATGAGAAAAGAAAGCAATTGATTATACACATCAGTATTTTGTTAAATTCCAATAAGGTTTCCAATTGTGTACATCCAAACAAGAAGGTTCAGGTCATTTTTATTCCTTTAATTAGGAAATCTGTTAATGTTTCCTGTTCCCATAAAATTCTGTCAACAGATATTCCCAGAAAGAGATGATGTATATATATCTATCATGATATGATAACTACCTTGCTTAAAGCTTCTTAAGTTTCTATTTAGTATTTCTATAATTAATGAGTAACCTAAAGGTCCATCATCAAATTACAATTTCAGTCATTTCAAGATTGCTACTGTATTTGATTATGTTTCCAGTTATAACTCTTATTTCCAAGCACGTAAAAATCTGCTTTGAGATTCAGTAAGACTAAATGATAGGCTAATTTTTTTTCTGTTAAAATTTACACAAATTATTTCTCTAGTTTAAAGCACTGCATGTTGTGCTTTCTTTCCATCCCAGAAGTCATCCTGGGAACCTTGTAAAAGTGTATTCTTAATTACTTTATTATTAACTCATATTATTACTTGGGAAATTTCCTCTAAAGTCAGCTAACATGATCAAGGAGGAATTTATCAAAAACAACCAATCTGTTATTACAATGTTCCTTACCTTAAAAAGTGCTCTCCTTTGAGGGGCAAAGTTCAAATGTGAGCCAATGGCTATACATCAAGTCAGTGCCAACATCTGGTCAACCTCCACCCCCTCAATAGTACAGAGAATAAGATGTCCAAGAGAGCCAAGGAAAGTTAATCAAGCACTAGAAATGTATTGAGACAGAAGCAAATAGAGCATGGCCCCAGACTTCTAGCACATTACAGCTTCCTGAAGAGATCTTGACCAGCTCATGAAACACTTGTTCATAAAAGTTTACTCAAATTATAATGAGAATGAGGGGTTTAAATTTTTGTGTATTTGTGTATCCATCTCCAAACTTTAACCTTGCTGTAGAAAAAGCAGACATACATATTTGATGAAAGTAGGCACCCCACCCCTTTCTATTCCAGAGATGGGGAAGCCCTAGCCTGAGGCCAGTAGGAGGGGCCCACTGGGCTGTCCAAGAGGAACGAACAAACCAGTGTCACTGCGATGCCTGAAATCTGGAATGCTGCACAGTTACCTACCTCTGCAAAATAAATCAATAAAGGCAGACCCCATTAACACTACCACAGTCCATGCTTTTCTTACTCATCATAGAGGAAGATATGTTTTTATACAGTTCTCACCTTAAGTTCTTCCCACAGCTTTATTCTCAATTCTAGACCTTGCTTCTTAATTTCTTTTTCTCTGTATTGTCTCTTCACCAATATTTTATCAAGCCTCTTTAACTTCTGAATAGCATCTTGAAATTGAGAATCTAATTCTTTCATTTCGGGTTCATCTATATTGCGTTGAAAGAAGAAATGAGCTTGAAGTTTAGTAAATCATAAAAGTTTGTTTTGTTTTGTTTTGTTTTTACTTATTTCTGCTTTCATTCAACAAATGTTTATGGCTGATGGTAATAACTAACATTGGTGTCATTTATCTTGATTTACAAGGTGCTTTCACGTGTATTCTTTTTATATAATTATCTAACAACCCTGTGAAATAGATACGTATCTCTATTTTACAATTGACGTAACTGGGTCCTTTCCAACAGCTTATAAATTATAGCATTGAACTCAGAAGTGGGTTTTATATTATTTTAAATCCCAAATTCTTTCTCCTTCATTCTGCTCTACCTTCTATATGCATAATTAACAAAATAAGGAATAAGACAACAACCCTATCCTAAAGCTGCTTCAGACTAACTGAAAGAGAAGACATGTACACAAATAGCTACAATAAAATGTAGCATGTCATAAGTGACACAGAGTGGTTCCAACATATAGAAACCTTCTACAAATGAGTAAACTGAGGCTAATTTGTAACTGTTACATACATATCCATGATAATCTAACTAGTAAATGTCAGAGTCAGTTTCCACCTACATCTGCCTGACTCCAGAGCCAAAGTCCTTCACCACCAGGCGACACTATCTCTGTGAAGTCTGATGAAAGATGATAATCTGGCAATAAGCATAAATGCTCAAATACTAAAGTCTCACTTATCCTAGATCATTAGAAATGGCATATTATTCTACGAAAGTCCAAATTTTGCAACTTTTGAAAACTCAAGAGTCCAGTGATGTTTCCTTATAATGTATATCATTCCTCTTTAAGGAAAAGGAGATATTTTTAGAGGGAATAAACTTATTCTGAAAGAATACTGATCTTATTAATAAGGAGGCTGTGCAAATCTTATTGCCTACGTACTTCAAATGCAACAGCCTCTAGTTCTAATTCCCAACTGCCAATCCTAGCATTCTCAGGCTCCATGTATCTCAGGCTCCAGGTGGTCTATATAGCAGGCATTTTGAAGTAACTCATGCAGTCCTGAAACACTATTAACGAATACATGTAAACTGGGCCCATAGCTAATCTCAACTATAAAACCTTGTTTCTGATAACTGTAATCCTGAGTCACCTGACCTAACTGTGAGAGCTGATCTCATCCCAAACATTCTAAGTCTGCAGTTTCCAGTTTATGATCTCAGCTTCCCTTTACAACTTTAAAAATTATGCAGAACAAAAGTAGCTTTTGTTTATGTGAGTTATATTTATTGATAATTACAATATTAGAAATCAAAACTGAAAAATATTTATTTTAAAATAATAAACGTATTACTAATTATATGTTACCATAAACACAACATTTTTGTGACAAATAACTACATTTTCAAAAAAAGTCATTAAGATGAGTGGCATTGTTTTAATTTTTTAATATCTGGCTTAATAGAAGACAGCTGGATTCTCCTTCCTGCTTCTAAAGTCAACCTACCGTAATCTATTGTTTCAGCTACAGTATATGAAGCAAATTTACAGAGACGTGCAGTTGAAAAGGGGATGAGAAATCTGATAGTCTTTTCAGATAATTGTAAATATTGTTTTGATACTATATCAAAACTCAACAAGGGGTAGTCCCGAAAAGGTTAGTTGTAATACAAAATCTGTAAGCCTATCAGTGAGCTTTTTGTACTTGTTCCATTAAAATCCATGGATCTATCTTTCGTTTTGAATGGATCTTTTACCCTGTGTTCGTCATTTGGAAAATAGTGGTTCACTGAATTATGCAGACCCTCAAAATGTTAACACATTTCAGTATACAATATCAAAAAATCACGTTTGTTAATATGCCACCAATTTTTATCAGAGAAGTCTAACTATTGGGAAGCTCTCTAGCTCACGGTGACATACATAAGTTTTTCAAAATTCTAACTTTTATTTGAAAGTTCAAATTTTATCATTGACAAAAAATACTGTTAGTTGTCTTGTTTGAGGTAAAAGGCTCATTTCATTAAAAAAAAAAAGTCTAATAAATACCCAAGTCTGAATGATAATAGTTTTCCTGTCAGTCTTTCTTTCAAGTAAAAATGGTATTCCATTTAAAAAGTGGCCACTAAACTATCACACAATACTTTTCCTCAACACAACCTTCAATTTTGTTTTACCACACAGGATATTAAAAAGATGTGTATTCAAAGGTCAAGATTTAATAAAATTAACAATTTCTACTGCTCCATCAAAGACATTCTTGAGTCACACTGGCTATTTCTTTTTTCTGCCAGTGCCTGGTCATGAAGAATACAATGACTAATAGTACAATTTGGTGCCATTGCCTTGATTCATGCTAAAGCACCAGCGATTTTACCCACTATTGTTTTTGTACCACCAGTGCAAATGTCCACTCGGTGGGCAAAAAGGCAACAAGCATTATTTCAGTATTATGAGGAACTGTATTACTAATATATTATATTAGTATTATGATGAAAGGAGTTTTTACTTGGCAGATCTCCTGAAAGAGTTTCAGAGACCACATTTTAAGAACTGCTATTCTAGAGGCCAGCCGGGTGGCTCAGTTGGTTAGAGAGTGTGCTCTTAAAAACAAGGTTGCCGGTTTGACTCCCGCGTGGGATGGTGGGCTGTGCCTCCCCACAACTAGATTGAAAACTGCGACTGGACTTAGAGCTGAGCTGAGCCCTCCACAACTAAGATTGAAGGACAACAACTTGATTTGGAGCTGATGGGTCCTGGAAAAACACACTGTTCCCCTTCCCCAATTCCCCAATACTGTTCCTTTCCCCAATTCCTCAATAAAAATCTTTAAAAAAAGAACTGCTGTTCTGATTCACTCTGACCAGTATTAATTTAATAACCATGAAAAAAAAGGAGTCTTTTAAAATCCAAAAGAGTTATTAAGATCAAGTGGTATTATTTCTAAAAAGGCATTTCTAAGTTACAGGATAACATTTTATTGTGCAGTTTTAGTCATCAAAAAGATCAATAAATCATGACATAAAATGCAGAAGTACTTCCTACTTGATTAATGTAAAATGACCACAATAACAATTTTACTAAACAACATATTATTTTTCTAATTGTATTTAAGGACTCCTAATATTCTTCTGTATAATGACTGGTGATTGCTTGCTCACAAAAAGTATGGCACATTTTTTTATTATTATTCCTACTTAGCTGATAAAAAACATACCTAATTCTAATA